GGCGATGCAATATATTCAATTAATACGATACGTGTTTCTAATCAATATTGCACTACTTCAATATACATCCCAGTAAACATGCATGTCTAAAAGATGTCAAAAAGATATCTAAAAGACGTCTTATGCAACAAAATGTTGCATAAGATATCTTTTAGATATCTTTTCGACATCTTTTAGACATGCATGTTTAGTGGGATGTGTATATTGAATACTGTTTATATACATCGCCGAAATCAAAATAATTTAACATAAAATTACTAATTGGTACGCGTATTAAACGTTCGGTATAATCATATGAGATTAAACTTATTAATAACTAACATTTTTTGAAAATCAACTACCTGATGCTCACGTTATCCGCTATGCTACTCTAGCTAACTCTAACTCCCCAGTAAACATGCATGTCTAAAAGATATCGAAAAGATATCTAAAAGATATTTTATGCAACATTTTGTTGCATAAGACGTCTTTTAGATGTCTTTTCGACATCTTTTAGACATGCATGTTTACTGGGTCTACTCGAGCATTGGAAAGCAGTACTGAGTTGTCAAACCATGAAGATACTAAATGGTTATGCCTATTACATTTTTCGACCCTAGTGGAACTAACTCGTACTCGATTTAACGTAAACACCCAATATATGAATACTCTAAGAAGTTCTGAGGAACTCCAATCATGGTGCATGTAACTTCCTAAATCATTCTTATAATATTCTTCCACAAATTCCTAAGGAAGTACAATTCAGGAAAGGAGAAAACTTTAGGAATACTTAAAGAATTCATCGTGCTATCTGGGATGTCTTAAAAACATGCTGAAAAAATTCTAAAGATGTCCATTGCAAATTGCTGTTGTCTTCCCTTATAGAAATATCATACTAAGAATCATTGATAATTACTTATTTTCAGTATTAAAAATACTGGATATTAAGTAATTATCAATGATTCTTAGTATGATATTTCTATAAGGGTTGAGTATATTGTAATATTTGTTTTATTTACAAATTCACATTAATTCTTTCATTTTTCACGAGTTTAGTGAAAATTTTCATCTTTCACAAGTTCATTACAAAATTTTCACTTTTCACGAGTTCACACTAGGGGAAAAGATTCATGATCGCTATCCTGATTCTTGAGTCATTCATCTTACCTATTGTGCCACTATCACTTTGACTGAGAGACGCTTTGTATTGTATTGTATGGTATATTCATGTACGAAAACAAATGATTTATTTAAAAGAAGAGAATAAAAATGTTTTAAATGTAAAATGTATGTTTGAAAAGAGTATGTAAAAAGTATATTTAAAAAATACTTTGAAACACAATAAAGATATTTTTAATATAATTATAATATAATTTTAAAATAATTGATTTAGATTTATATAATGTAAAATAAAATGTAAAACTTGTACTTTATTTACTTTTAAAATAAGCAAATATTTATTTAAACATAGCTTTTACATAAAAATACTAATTTTCTTCTTGTAAAGAAGTCACTTCTTTTCTAGAAATTTATAATTTTACAGCTCATTTCACAAATTTATATTTATTACATATTTTCTAAAATCTAACAAATACTTTTTTAAGTTAAGAAATTATATTTAACAAAATATATTTCTTTGATTTAAAGAATTTTTTCAGTATACATTACCAATTTAAATTTCGATTTTATAGTTTTTTCATTAATTTAATTATCATAAATAATTACATTTATTTTTTATGTATACTATTTATAGAAATATTTACAAAATATTACTACAAATATTGATTTTTTGTTTACTATAAATATTGTATAAAATATTTAGCCTATATTTTAATAATACTTTGAATAAAGATTTTGATATATTTTTCTTTATATATAGAAATATTTATAAAATATTTATGTAATATTTTTAAAAAATAATTTGACCTAAATATTTATGAATCTTTATCATAAATATTGTGTACTGTCTGGGCAATGCATCGTCTCCAAAAAAATTTGAAGCAAATAAAGCAATAAATTACTAATATTGGTAGAGATGATTTCGAGTTCTCCAAAATATATTTTATATGCAAAGTAAGCTTTATTAATGACACTCTTTATATTCTTAGTTTTTCATTTATACATTAACAAACTATTAATATACAATACACATTTTCCACTAGAGATATGGGAAAAGCCACGCATCCCAACAATTTTGAAAAATAAATCAAATAAAAATATAAATAGTGCTTCTATAGATGCAAATGACATTGGTTCTGCTTGTTCACATGTAAATTTTAAATAAAATGTATGCTATATTTTTTAATAAGAAGTATATTGTTAAAAATATATACATTTACAGTAAGTTTGCAATGAATGATAAAATGGTTTTATTTTAGACTGAAGTTCATATTAGCAAGCCAAATACTAAAATAATTTTCCTTTTTCCAATAATATTTCCTTTTAATTTATATATATATTCTTTAAATGGACGTACGTTTCCGCTACATTTTTATTCATTTTTATTCATTCCACCATTGTGGAAGAACGCAGATCTAAAGAACGCAATGAAAAGAGGTCTACGAATGACCACTCTGGGTGCTTTCCAGTTGCGTACACTGTGTTACACAAAACCAGTTTATTGGTTGCATATTATCTTACAAGATATTTTAGATAATATGTGACCAATAAACTGATTTGTGTCGTGTGTGTCAAGATGTGTTAAGCAATTGGAAAGCACCCTCTGGATTCTAGGAACTCTACAACCGCGCGGGTGTATATCAGTTGGACACGGGGCAATTGGACATAGTCCAATCACAAGTCGTTGTTCCAAGGGACTCTACAAATGTCTCTAATCATACGGTGCTGTGATTGGCTGTGTCCAAATGCACCGTGTCCAAGTGCACCGCTCCTCAACCGCGCTCTACTGAGCGCTCAGTGAGCGATTGTAGTACAGAATTGGCGCAATGATATTGGCCGGTATTCATAGTCAGATCTTATATTTGAGACCATCTTAAATTTATCTTCAGATGATGAACGGATCATTTCATTGGCTACGGAGTATCTGAAGATGAACTTAAGCAATCTTAAAAATACTTAGAGACTTTTGAACGTTGCCAACGTTATCCCCTCTCTTTTTATGGATTTTGTCCGCTTACCGATAATTGGAATATAAGACGAGTTTTTAATTCATGCGATGGATTCATCGATGAATTAAAAAACTCGCCCATAGTGGGAAGGTTGATTCGTATGTACTTGACTTGGAAAACTATTCTTTTAAATCGTTTGTATTTCATATGAAGAGTTTTGAAGTGCAATTGAAAAGATTTGTGAGTCATTCTATTACTTTTAATTAATTGTTCTTTTTTGGACCATGTATTTAGCCGCAAATAATGACCGGAGGTAAATTAAACAAAGGTTCGGTATGATATCGTTTGTATTTCGTATGAAGAGTTATGAAGTATCATTAGTTGCTTTCTAACAAGAGACATAAGTCGACACAAGTATCATCCTATCTTTGTTACTCATTAAATATGAAACAAAGATAGAATGATGTTTGTGTCGGCTTGTGTCTCTTGTTGGAAAGCAACATTAAAAAGGTTTGTGAGACATCCAGATAATTTTAATTAAATATTAAAAAATCATATATATTTGGCTTAAATATCGATCTCAAACGCTGCTGTGGAAGTACCGTCAAGCACGATCGGTGTACTATCTAGTATTTCAATATTCCTGGTTCTTTTTCAGGTAATTATGTACAATAAAGCTTTTTTCGAATTTTTATATTTTTTTGCAGCTCTTTTGGTAAAAATATTTATTTTGACTCCAATATTGATAATCAATCGGGGGAGTCCGAAAAATATGCAAGTTATATATTGTTTTAACTTTTTTTTTATTTTTTTTTCACTTGTCAAATGTTGCTGCTTTCCCACAATTTAAACAAGTTACTAATCTTTTAATCACATTATGTAACTGCAATATCGAACGACTAGAGGGGGGCTGTGCCCCCCGCATCCCCACTCAAAACTAACCCAACCCAACCTATCGTCACATTAGCCGTTAGTCATTGTTTACTAAAAAATTATTAAGAAAAAAAGTTGAACACTTTAATAAACAATGACTGACGGTTAATGTGACGATAGGTTGGGTTAGATTAGTTTTGAGGGGGGGTACGGAGGGCGGAGCCCCCCGCTAGTCATTCGATATTTGCAATTACATAATGTGATTAAAAAATCAGTAACTTGTTTAAATTGTGGGAAAGCAGCAACATTTGACAAGTGAAAAAAAAATAAAAAAAAGTTAAAACAATATATAACTTGCATATTTTTCGGACTCCTCCGATTGATTATCAATGTTGGAGTAAAAATAAATATTTTTTTCCAAAAGAGCTGCAAAAAAATATAAAAATTCGAAAAAGGTCTTAGGGTGCTATTTCACGTGTCGTACGACAAGCTTTTCGGATACGTTTATTGGTTGGCGAATAGAGTATTTCTAGGTTCTCTGTTCGTCAAACAATGAACGTATCCAAAAAGCTTATCGTACGACATGTAGAATATCAGCCTTATTACACATAATTACCCGAAAATGAACCATGAGTATAGAAATACTAGATAGTACACCGATCGTGCCTGACGGTACTTCCACAACAGCGCTTGAGATCGATATTTCGGTCAAATATGATTTTTTAATATTTAATTAAAATTATCTGGATGACTTACAAACCTTTTTAATGATACTTCATAACTCTTCATACGAAATACAAATAATATCATACTGAACCTTTGTTTTATTTACCTCCGCTCATTATTTTCGGCTAAATACATGGTTCAAAAAAGAACAATTAATTACAAGTAATAGAATGACTCACAAATCTTTTCAATTGTACTTCAAAACTCTTCATACAAAATACAAACGATTTAAAAGAATAATTTTCCAACCGGAATTTTTTTCCGGTCAAGTACATACAAATGGAAGGTTGCTATATTTTTATTTAATTCGGTCCCGCCATTATCAGATGGCGTTTATGTGGCATCTTCGTGACATGTACGTCAGTTTGCCCGCCGCCGTTCTCGTCTTCGTTTTGCATAACCGTTGTGCATTTCGGGCGCCCGCACCATACGTGGATTCAACAAACACTCAATGTGGCGTTGAGTTTGGAAGGTTATGGATTGAAGTTTCGGGGTGTGGCATCGTATTCGGCGGTCCGGGAAACGTTACGGGACGCGGTGCCGGTGTGATGCCGCGCTGAAGTGCGCCGCACGCGCGCGACAATCGCCGAGACTCGGTACACACGAGATCTCCCTCGGCCGTCATTTTTTTCGTGGACGCGAATGAAGGCTGTCGACCGTCGCCCGCGAAAAGAGTGTTCACGCACGATTCCGAATCGGCGTTGACGTTGATACGCGTGGTCGATGCGTTAGAAGTCGAGACGAAAAACGAACGCGCGAATTATGATCGGGACTTTCTCAAATCGCTCCGTGCACTGACACGCACGAAAATCGCGGTGTCCGGTGCGTACGCGTTTGACGCAAGGTAGTCTGGTCGCCACGGGGACGAGGTCCATGAGATCACGTGTAACACACTCGACGTGGGATGTTGAGCGCTGTCACCCCCACTCAGCCCCACGAATACACCGAGATGTCTCGGTTAGCCGACTACTTCGTAGTGGTCGGCTACGATCACGAGAAAGAAAGTAAGTCACTGTGGAAGTGATGTCTGATATTGTCATTAAATGTCGTTAGAATGGCACTCGTTTCAGCTGCATTTTCTTGCATCTTTTGCTTTGATATTGCAATGTTTGTCTAAGTTTTACAAAAAGAAAGTAAAAGAAGTGAAACATAATTTTGAACAATAGTTTAATGATTCTTGTTCTACCAAAAGATACTAATCTCTAGCAAACTGGGTAGTAAACATTTGCATATCTCTGTAATACAATACAGGCCTGTATTAGTAAATTGCCATTTATAACTAATTTTATGTGATGTACTTAAATTGGAATTTAGAGTTAAATCTGAATATTTTAGTTAAGTTATACAATATGTGACATTATATTTGTAATTGTGATTCAACTGAAAAATTCACATCCAACTCTATTCAAATCTGAATATCTCACTCATGACAAGATTCAAATAACAATTATTAATACAGGCCTATATATATAATTATGATTCAACTGAAAAAATTATCTAAATCTAAACTCAATAAATTTGAGACCTGTTGTAATAGTTATTACTTGACTCAGATTTGAATTCAGAGTTAGATGAGTTTTTCAAATTGAATCAATTATAGATGTAAATGTCACATATATCGATTCAACTGAAAGATTTGGATCTAACTCTGAACAAAAATCTAATTATTTCACCTAAGATAAGTTTCTTATTATGACTATTAATATGAGAGTCTATATATCTCACTGGAGAAAAGTTTCAAGTAATGACTATTAATATAAGCCACTGAATATTTGACCTGAAAAGACTAATTTGTCTTTTATATAAAATAAAAAAGTGTGTAAAATACTAATACTTATTTATAATTATAGGAGGTGGTGTAAGTAGTGGGATAGTATTGCAACGATTTCCAGAAAAAGACTGGCCCGACACACCTTTCATTGAAGGAATAGAATGGGTGAGTCTATCTTCGTGAGACAAAAGAACTTGCTATGATATTTTGATTTATTACTAAAGTACCATCTTATCATAGTTTTGCCAACCCCAAGGATGGGCTTTATCAACAGAGAGACAAGAACCCCGCTTCTTTGTCTCAATACTGACGGATGTCTATGCAAACCGACATTATTGTGCCTGCATGTGCTTCAATGAAACAGTGTCGATTGTGCCAAGTAAACCCGTAGACGAGGAGGAGGATCCAGTAGATGGTGACAGTCGCCCCCTGGTCAGGGCAATACCCGCTATCGCACATCATAGCATTATGTACGCACCTAAATGTCTGGTGCTGGTTTCCAGACTCGATTACATAGAAACATTTAGAGTACGTGGATATTTGTATAATAGACATCATCATTCACATTTTGCATCACTCAATGATCGATTTAACAACTCTACTTATCATCCTTACAGAACTGTCTTGGTATTATTTACACAGTGTACGTGGAAAATTTTGGTATACCGTTAGAAACATTAGTCGGAAATATATTAGGATGTATTCAAGTACCTCCTGCGGGTGGGCCTCAGGTGCGATTCAGCATCGGAGCAGGCGATCGTCAAGCGCTTCAGCCACCGATTAGCCCTTCTCTTCCTATAACTCATACTAGTGTAAATTTATTATTTCAGCAACTAGGTAAGGAAACAGCAAACCAAATATGCAATATTCACGATGATTCTTATATCTGTTGATATCCGTTACATCATTGATATTATTTTCAGGTATTCGTAATGTGCTAGTATTATTTTGCGCAGTCATGACAGAACATAAAATACTTTTTCACTCTGCCAGTTACTCTCGACTGACCGAAGGGTGTCGCGCCCTGACGGCTTTAATGTATCCATTTCGATACTCGCACGTTTACATTCCTCTTTTGCCAGCGGCTTTAGTCGAAATACTCAGCACTCCGACTCCATTCATCATGGGCGTGCATAGTTCGTTAAAGCATGAAGTTGCAGAACTTGTAAGACAATTTCCACATGATCTTGAGGACCTGTTGCTTTCATTCAAATACTCATCGCTATCTCTTCGTCTTTTCAGATGGATGTAATAGTCGCCGATCTGGACGGAGGCTCCATAATGGTTCCCGATGGCGTTTCACTCTCTTTACTACCGGAACCGTTACTCTCGCAGACGCAAGACGCGTTGTCCCTGGTGTTGCAACCGGAATTAGCATGTGCCGATTACGCTTTTCCTCCACTCGCTACCAGAGCACCACACTCGCCAATGCTCGACAAAGAACTCAGGGCGGTGTTCATGCGAACCTTTGCTCAATTGTTACAAGGATACCGAAGTTGTCTAACGTTGATACGAATACACCCGAAACCGGTCATAACCTTCCACAAAGCAGCGTTTCTAGGCGAGAGAGGCTTAACGGATTGTGACTTTACTACGAGGGTTTTAGATTGCATGTTTTTTACGTCTTTCATTGCGGAGAGAGGTCCACCATGGCGACCTTGCGACGTGTGGGATGAATTATATAGTAACTTGAGCGATCAACTGAAGCAGGAAACGCAAGATCATAGAATAATCCTGACGCACATTCAGGAGCTGGCTCAGCAACTCTACATGAACGAGAATCCGAATCCTCAGCCGTACGTGCAAAAGATCCTGAAGCCTCCCGAGGGTGCATTCGCGAGAATTCATCAACCTCTCTTACCACGTATCAACACGGAACAAGTGCAAGCGATCATCGATGAAGGCCTCGCGAAGAATAATCTCAAGGTCAGATTGACGTCCATACGGCCAATTCATCCTCGCATCGTACCGATGGGCCCGCATATCTCGTTCGTTCACGACACCAGACATCTAGTCAGCAACTCAGCTCGCAGGCTGGAAGTATTGCGTAATTGTATCAACTGCATATTCGAGAACAAAATCTCAGATGCTCGCAAGACGTTTCCTGCTGTGCTGCGGGCGCTGAAGAGCAAAGCCGCACGTTTGGCACTCTGTATGGAGTTGTCTCAGCATGTGGTGGGCAACAAGGCCATGCTGGAGCACCAACAATTCGATCTGGTGGTGCGTCTGATGAACTGTGCGCTGCAAGACGACTCATCTATGGACGAACACGGAGTCGCTGCCGCGTTGTTGCCGCTCGCCACCGCGTTCTGCAGGAAGTTGTGCACCGGCGTTATACAGTTTGCGTACACCTGCATCCAGGAACATCCGGTGTGGCAAAATCAGCAGTTCTGGGAGGACGCGTTTTATTTGGACGTGCAGAAGGACATCAAACGTTTGTATCTACCAGGCGACAATTCGCCTCCCAGACTGATAAACGACACTATCCTGAGCCCCATCAGTCCACGCGACGGGAAAGAGTTCCCGTATCGAGATCGATACTCCATTTATCAGGCTCAAGAACCATCTGCGCTGGAGATTGCCGCGGATCAAATGCGAATCTGGCTGTCTATCGACCCCGAGAAGCAGAAGGAACTCGTCAACAGCGAGGAGAGTACCATGTATAGTCAAGCTATACACTACGCCAACAGGATGGTCTACCTGTTAGTGCCATTGGATATCGGCTCAAAGACCCATCGTCAGGATAACGTTTTCGATGAGGAACGTGCGAGTAATAGTATCACGAATAGCGTGGCGAGCGATAGCGGCGATGCCGAGTCCGGATTCGAGGAGACTGATCCCGGCGAGACCGGTAGCGCCGTCATTCGCATGGTCTCGCGATTTGTAGATCGCGTTTGCACAGAGGGTGGCGTGAGCGCCGAGCATGTAAGATGTCTTCATCAGATGGTGCCAGGTGTAGTTCACATGCACATCGAGACGCTTGAAGCGGTCCACAGAGAGAGCAAGAGATTACCGCCGATACAAAAGCCGAAGATCCTGACGCCCAATATGCTGCCGGGCGAAGAAGTGATAATGGACGGTTTGCGTGTTTATCTTCTGCCAGACGGCCGAGAGGAGGGCTCCGCGGGTCTCCCGAAGATTCCACCGCTCTTACCGGCCGAGGGAGCGATCTTCTTGACGAATTATAGGATCGTGTTCAAGGGCATACCATGCGATCCATTCGCTTGCGAGCAACTGGTCGTTCGAGCTTTCCCCGTGACGTCTTTGACCAAGGAGAAGCGCGTCGCTGTGCAGCATTTGGCGCATTTAGATCAGTGCCTGCAGGAGGGCCTCCAGCTGCGCTCCTGTACGTTCCAACTGATCAAATTGGCCTTCGACGAGGAGGTCACACCGGAGAATATCGACACCTTGAGGAAGTTGGTGCACAAAGCGCGATATCCGCCGCATATCTTCCATCACTTCGCGTTCAACGGCCACGTCCTAGTGACGCAAACGGCGCATCACAAAGGTAAGGAGAAGAACGCCACGCTAAAAGGTTTCGCGAAGAAGACGCTGTTGAAGACCGCGAGGAAGGCCGGCTTCAAACCTAAGCAGTCATCCAAAAGGCAGAAGTACGTGTTACCGAACATGAATCTCATTAGCAACAATAAATATATGACATCACCTGGTCGCATGAGTCTGCCGATGACCGACAATAACGATCTCAGTCATGACGATGATCTCAGTATAGACGACTTTGAGATACCAGGCATGATGACGCAACCACCGACTGACGCGAAGACACTGGAACGTTTGTCCGAGCGCAGCTATGTGCGAGACTGGTATCGACTCGGGCTCTACACAAACGGGCTGCACAACAACCGTCGTAACGAGCCCTTCCGGTTGTCTTCGGTGAACTGCGCCTACATGATGTGTCGGAGTTATCCCGCGCTATTGATCGTTCCTACTTCCGTGTCGGACGAGAGCATCCGACGATTCTGCAGGCTTTACCGCCATAGCAGAGTGCCCGTCGTTACTTGGAGGCATCCGCGAACAAAGGCACTGCTAATCAGAGGCGCTGGCTATCATGGAAAAGGTGTGATGGGTATGCTGAAGGCTCATCCGACTTCGAGCAGTAATCTGAAGACCACGTCGTCGGAGACCACCTCCTCTTTGGAGCAGGAGAAATACATGATGGCTCTCGTGGCAGCGACGCCGCTCTCCGTGTTGCGACAAGGTTCTGCCTGGGGCATGTCTGACAGTTCTCTGAGTATAGATTCGTTGTTGCTGGCGGCCGAAGATCGCAACGCCACTCCGGAGCAATCGCGACGCAATCCGTTCAACAAACCGCTTGGTACCCTCGGTTCGTCAGGCGGCAAAGGCCCCAAGAATTTCGGCCGATGGGGCTCCTTGAAGGACAAGAGACACAACTCGTCACAAGCCTCTTTGACTTCCGTTCATCAGCGCGGTACCGTAAGACACTCCGCAGACTCGGACAGCGGCACGGAGTGTGTGCACACTTTTCAACGCGCTGCTCTTTACATCTTGGGTGAGAAGGCACACATGAAGGGTGTCAAAGCGGAATCCACTCCCAAGACGGATTTCATTCCGGTAGAGTATTACGACGTCAGGCACACCAAGGCCGCGTTCAAGAAGCTGATGCGGGCATGCGTACCAAGCTCACCGAATGTGGAGCCTGATCAGAGCTTTTACAGACTTATCGAGAGCTCCGAGTGGCTACAGCAGCTGCAGAATTTGATGCAACTGGCGGGTGCAGTCATAGATCTGATGGATATGCAAGGCTCCTCGGTGGCTGTTTGCTTGGAAGACGGTTGGGATACCACGACCACCGTGTGCTCCGTAGCGCAAGTGTGTCTCGATCCTCACTATAGGACGATCGACGGCTTTAGGACTTTAATCGAGAAGGAGTGGCTTGGATTTGGCCACCGGTTCGGCCACAGGAGCAATCTGGCCGCGAATTCACAGACCACAAACTTCACACCTACATTCCTTCAGTTCCTGGACATAGTCCATCAGATACAGAAGCAATTCCCATTGGCGTTCGAGTTTAATGAATACTATCTGAAGTTTTTGGCTTATCACTCGGTGTCCTGTCGCTTCCGCACCTTCTTGCTGGACTGCGAATTTGACAGAGTGGAGTGCGGTATCACTGCTATCGAGGACAAAAGAGGTTCCTTGACGAGTCATCATAAGGGTGTGGACACTGGTAGTGACGACGAAACGATCTATCCTGGCGGTAGGCTGGCGGGAACCAACACCGGTTGCAATCTCGGCCAGAGCATCTTTGACTACATTGAGAAGCAACACGCGCGATGTCCGTTGTTCTATAACTTCATGTACACGCCTAACCTGGAGTATCCCGTCTTGAGACCAGTCCGACATCTTCCCAGTCTCGATATCTGGCAGTTCTACCTAGAAGAAGAACTAGCCCATGGTCCGGCCTACGATCTGGAAGTGTTGCAGCAGGATTCCCAACAGGAAGAAGAGGCTGAGGCTGCAGACGGCGTGGTCAAGAGCAATCGTAAAATAGTTACTCAAGGGTGAGCATCATTCGCGTCTTGACGATTAAAAGGAATTGCGAGATTACTAATTATGGTTTATTTTAGATACGACGGAGTAAGCACGATGGTGCCCGATCAGTTCTCGCATCTCTTGGAAGAGATTCACAAACTGGAAACTGAACTGGGTCATTTGCCGCAGAAGTGGAAGGTGTTGTGGGACAAGCTGGAGTTGCCAAACACTGATTCACTCGCTGTAAGTCACCATATGAATGAATATTCTCATCTTTACTGATATAATTATTGTTTCTTACGATTATTATAATTAACGGTTAATATGCGTAATGCTGAACAATCAAAAACCCAAAATGTGAGAAATGGGACAACGTCCCGAGAAGACTCGAAAATTGAATATCGGAACAATGGCATGCTTTCAATATTTCGGAAAAATTGTATTTTGGTACAATGTTCCGGTATTTAGTTTTCCAGATTGTATCTTTTCAGGACGTTGTCCTGTTTTTTAAATTTCGGCACCTTTTCTCGGAATTATGCACGTCCAACTAATTAGCGTGTAATTGTTACATTCATGTATAATTGTTACATTCATTTGTAATTGTTGCATTCATAATTGATTTTTTGCCTTTAGCGGCACGCGTCATTCAGTACAGCGCTAGTACGGTATCACGGTCGACTGACTCACAAACGTTCTACCCTGGAACTATTGTTACGTGGCAAGCTCGCAGGCGGTAGCACCACCGGAAACGAAGGTTCCGTTTACGCACATCCGCACAGGTAATACGCATCTACCATCTACGCATCGCTCTTCTTTAATTTGCTCAAACTAGCTGTACGTACCTGACGAGCACGAATGTTTGCCGAAGATTCGAAAGATTGGACTCTGCGACTCCGACTCATTGCGACGCGTGTTCTGGTGTGCTATGGGGCCCTGTGAAGGCCGGATTAAGATGCATCGACTGCGGCCACGTGTGCCACGACAAGTGCGCGGATGCCGTGCCGAAGAATTGCACGAAGTACAAGGCTGTGACGGATAATCTCCAAACTCACACACTCACGAGAAGTGGCGGAGACAACGGAAGCGTGAACTCAAGTATGCGCTGCTACCGTTTTAGTATAATTGGACGAGTAAACAGTGTCCATTATCTCATTGTTACGTTGCATATCTCGCCTATAAAGCTTCCTTCTTTCTCTGCCTTGCGTAAAAATATCGATCCTTTATAATTGCAGGTGTAACGACTATACAAACTTCTTCTCAACAATACTACGAGCAATTCTCAAGCAACGTGGCGGAAAACAGAACGCACGAGGGTTATCTTTATAAACGGGGCGCCCTGTTGAAGGGCTGGAAGCAAAGATGGTTTGTACTAGATTCCATAAAGCATCAATTGAGATATTACGATGCGGTGGAGGATTCGCACTGTAAAGGATACATAGGTATGTGAAAAAGAATGAAACGTAACACGGTTGACACAAAAAAACGGTTTGAAACTAGAACAGAAATGAGCATTCATCGAAATTACGCGTTGCAGATCTGGCCGAGGTGGTATCCGTTAATCCAGCTGCGCCGATGCCTGGACCACCAAAGAAAACTGACGACAAATCATTCTTTGATGTGAGTACATATTACATTTCGACAAGAGATAGGGTCTTTGTTCTGAACTCTCTCTTATCGCTTATGATTCAAATGCAACGCTCAAAATTGTCGACTCAGCTGCATTCTTCTTTTTAATTTTGTGAATTGATTTTTATTTTTGTACAATACCGTCTCGATGTAACTTATAATGTACTGCAACATATAATACATTCATCTTCTTTACAGCTTCGTACAAGTAGACGGACGTACAATTTCTGTGCTGCCGACGCGGTCACTGCACAGGAGTGGATCGAAAAAGTTCAAGCGTGCTTACAATAGTGTGTCACAGCTTGATTATAGTACTAATTTAAAATTCTGGATGTGACTGATATAGAGAGTAAAAGATTTTAATTTTGTTACATAATATTGTATAGTCTAATTGTATGCGTCATAGACTGCATTAACATCGCTTTAAGTATTTAAAAAACGCAAACTCGTTGGACTGAAAATAGTATCATAAATTAAATGTGATACAACCATATCCTTAATATAGAATTAGTATGTGAATATAATGTACATTGTGATTACGTCATTATGTTAAATTTTTATTCAGTTGGAAGATGAGAGATCATTATATATAGCGCCTTAAGATTCTTTTTGTTTAATGTTTTTTAATGTTTAAATTATGATGGAGTATAAAGAGAGCATGGTTATTATTTTTGCATATCCATATATATAAATATACAGGTAGTCTCAGGATTATACTTCAGTTTTTGTCGGCTATAGATTTTTTGGACAATATGTAAATCGGTTTTTCCTTAACAAAGACATGAAAATTAATGTATTATAAACGATAAAAATTAAGAATATTACACACTAGTGTTTAAGGACATAAATAAATGTTATTTGCTTCTATTTCAAATAGATTTTACTTTATTGGAGTTTTAATTCAGATTTTAGTTACTACTTGATATTTTAAGGGTTGTGAGTTAAAAATAATATATAATTCAATTTTTGCTAAGGAAAGATCAATTCCAAATTTATTATAAGGAATCTCTAAATTAATAGTGTGATGAAATTGGGACACTATTAAATATTTAATAGTTGCATATAAAATGCTATTATAATTATATATATATAATATTACTATTCGATATGATGCGACCTTGTTTGTTAAAAGTGTTAAGATCTAAACAAATACGAGAAAGATAATATCTCTCTAAGATATGTTAAAAATATCTCATTAATACTCCTGCCATGCTGACAGAAAAATTAAATTGATAAGAATATGAATTTGGAGTACTTTTTACTGCGGTTAATTTTCAGAGAGAGGGAGAGACAATTGTAGCACCAATACTCTTGATGAACTATCTAGTTGCACCATGTTCTCCTTAAATCAACATATCCAAAACTGAAAGATGTCATTGTATTTTAAAGTATACTGTTAAGAATAAGTTATCACTAAAAAGACAAGAGCTTGCTTACAAAAGTATTTTAGAAATTGTATATAATGTATTTCAAATATTGACAGGATCTTGTTTTGAACAATATAAATTTAATCTGCATTTTGATGAGTGCATTTTCAAAGAACACAAGATTAAAAACTTTGAGAATCTATAGATAATAAAAAAATTAGTTAATTAAAAATGTTAGACAAGATTATCAAAAATCAGTTAACTTTTGTGATGTAGATAACAAAGATAAAAAATTAAATAAACAATTAGATTAACTTTGTAATCACAAAAATATAATATTCAAGAAATGTATTTGCATTTCTTAATTACCACTGATATATTATCCAGATAAAGAATAACACTATTTACATATATATATATATATATAATTATTCACTAAAATCTTCTTCATCGCTAAAGTATTTATTTTTCTTGTAACGTTTCTTTGATACAGTTGAACCCTCTTTTCTGTCATATCCATCCATTGTTTCCCCATATCTATTTTCCATTTCAAATCGTCTTTGCTAAAATAACAATCTGAATTAATTTAATCATAATTATTTTAATTATAATTTACCAGAACTATTTCAATTAATTTTTATAGTTTCTAATTAAAAATATAGATAGCACAATTGTACCTCGAGTGCAATCACTGCACTCAATGTTTCAGGCTCTTCCTCTGAGTCATCCTCAACATTATCATTATCAAACTTTGGTTTTTTTGCTGGCGCTTCATCACTGTCATCATCAAAGTAATTCGTGTTATATTTCTCTTGCTTTATATTTTTTTTTCGTATTCTTATTTTTTTTGGTGGTGGTTTTCTGGGACCTAATGCATTATTGCTGCAACAATATGATAAGTGTCCCTCCTGTCCACATTCGTAGCATTGTGATTTATCTGGATAGTCCCTGCGACGTATGAATTCAGTGCTGCGACCATTGTCGACTGCTATCGAACTTTTTACAATGCGACCACATATCTATCATCAGAAGAATGATTGATTATATAAATAATCTCTGTTGGCATTATTTGAAATCAATTAACAAATAAATCTTCACTTCTCTCTAAAAATGAAATTGAGAAAAGGAATTTTGTAGGTATAAAAATGAATCGATTGAGTATATTTTGATCAAAATTTTTTTTGAGGCGAGATTTTTAAACAAAATATTTATAAAAAATAAATAACAACGATCAATCCTTACTTCAGTGTTATTGACTGAATTCGCACAGCGTACTGCATCTTCTTGTTTGCAAAATAATACAAAAGCAACACCGCGACTAAGTCGCGTTATTTTGTCTTTCAACACAGTTACTCTGAAAATAAACAATATAATATTTGTACTATACTCTTAACGCCACAGAGAGAGATTACTTCACCGTTAACACTCACTTGACAATTTTTCCATAATTTTCTAACAACTGATGTATATCATTATTTGTTAAAGAAAAAGATAAATTTGATATATAAACAGTCGATTTACTTGGAATAATATGACCACTCATATTTTATCTTAAAATTGCATCGCTGTAACAACCATCATATGTTCCGGTAATTATATAGTTTAGAATCCTCACTTCCGATTTGGCTAAAAACTTAACTCGTATTGGTTGCTTTCCAACAAGATTCTGTTCTGTTCTGTTCTGTAATGGCTCCGGGGGAAAAGGTTATCCCCATATGCCATTCTCCAATCCTTATGTCTTTCCAACAAGAGACACAATCGACACAAGTATTAAGGTGCGATTTCACGCAGCGAATAAAAGCTGACGTTTCACCCTACTCCATCAATTTTCACCGAAATGGCGAATGTAGCGAATAAACGCTCAAAGTTCGACACACTCCAACTTTTAGCGAATAAAAGCTGGCGTTTACCACCACTCCATTAATTATCGCTAAAAAGACGAATAAAGCAGATAAACGCTCAAAGTTCAACACAGTTCAACTTCTAGCTAGATTTAACTGGATCAAGTGATTGTAATTAATTAAGTGAATAAAATAGGCCATATAAACTCGGTGAAAAATTTTTCATGCATAATTATGTATGAAATTTGTCCATATATAATTATGTATAATCGTATAACATTATATATCATTATACACAATTATGTATAACAATATGTATAATTACATATAAATCTATGCGTAATTATGTAAAATTATATATGAATTTATATATATAATTATACATGATTATATGTATTA